ACCTCGTAACCCATTTCAGATTTCCACTTAATCAACAAGCAGTCACACGGAAAAAGCTTGTCCCTTTTGAGCACTCAGCAGCAGAAAAACAAAAGGGTCCTAACTGAAAGGTATTGATCTATTTTTCAGAAAAATAAAACTCAAATATCTGGGTTGAATAAAGTAGCATCAGTTGCAGACTCTAGGAAAAAATGAATTCGGCATATAATTTCTTGACAAACCAAATTCTGAAAATAAGTAAGTACTTATGGGAAGTCCTAAAGCTAAACTTGGTTCTAAAGAAAGCACTGCTAGTAGAATCTGCTACAAGAACTCGAACCTTCTTTGTCCCACAAAAATAAGTATACTTTGCAGTATTGTGAGTAACCCTCAAATCTGGAGGAAAGCTATCTTTTGCATATGCTAGCCAGTAAACAACTGCTTTTACCTTTGAATCTGCACACAAGGTGCTTGCAGAGTATCTTTGTGCAGAGCTAAAGGTACTCAAAGTGACCCAGAAGAGGGATGCTAACAACGCTTCACAAAAGCTTCTTGATGCTGAAACCACTCAATGCCAAGACCACTCTGTTCTGAGCTTGATGCTCTGAGCAGTGCCAGGAACGGACGAGCAGCAGACGAATACCCAACCTAGCGTGCCAGCACCATGTCAGGGAGCAGGCTCATGCCAGCAGAATCACAGTAATATACTAATAATGCGGTCAGAGAGCTGCCACGACAAAAGCAGAAGAGAGAGAATGTGTTCGATCTTAGCATTAGCCAAATAGAGGGCCATCAAGAAGCCATTCCTGTGCTCCAAAAGAATAGCCAGACAAGATCTTCCACAGCAGCTGTGTTGGTCCAAGAGACTTCAGTTCCACTGGCATGTTCCACAAAAGGCAAAGAGGAAAAGGGATGAAAAGGGAAAAAAGGCAAAGGGGAAAATAGGGTATCTCACTGGAGACATCTTTCTTGGGGTAAACCCAGATTACTGGGAGTGAGTCCATTTGGCCCAGTCAGCCACAAGACAGCTCCCGACTCCTGGTGGAAGGAAACCCGCATTGCTCCCACAGCAATGACAGCCTCAAGCGCGATTCCTCACTCATCTGTACAATACAAGTTGGAAACATGGCAAAGATAGCTTGCAATTAGGGTTTTTTCTTGAAGAATTCAATGTGCTTGAGAAGTGCTCTCTCTGCTGCTTAAGTGTCCCAAATACTGGAAAGCCTTCATTTGACCATGTTGTCACTGCTGGAACAACACAGGGAAAGTTTAAATATATTATATGCATGGCTTAAGAACACTATTATTAACATACAGACACATTAAAACCATGTAAATAAATACTTGTGTGGATACCAGAACATGCAAGAATAATATTCTTTTAACTGGCACTTCAGGCATCAGCTGGTGTTTGTCCTAGATGATAAGACAAGAGGAAATGACCACAAGTTACGCCAGGTGAGGTTTAGATTGGATATCAGGAAAATTTTTTTCACCTAAAGGGTTGTCAAGCACTGGAAGGGGCTGCCCAGGGAAGGGGTTGAGTTCCCATCCTTGGAGGTATTTAAAAAGACAGGTAGGTGTGGTGCTTAGAGACATGGCTTAGTGGTGGGATGGCAGTGTTAGGTTAACGGTTGGACTTGACGATCTTAAAGGTCTTTTCCAGCCTAAACGATTCCACGATTCTGTGATTCTTTTCTTCCATGAATATATGAGAGTCTCAAGGTAATAATTAAAGTCACTGAAGTCGTAGCATTTTAAATCTAAAGAAAACTGCTCCCTAGCAATAAAAGTAAGTGGACAAAACAGACATTTTAAATTTACTCTGAATGCCACCAGTTACTCACAGCTACTCCCAGTGGCAGGGCAAAGCTGTATGACTTGAAAAACTGTGTTCTTTAGAACACACAGACCACGTGTGTATTTCAAACAATGAGTATGCTCATGTTCTGTCCCTTGACAAAAAGAAAACTGCCTTTCAGCATTTATAGGTGGCACACTATTGCCTCTTCAATGCATGGCATGTAAAGCAGAGAACACCACTTACTGTTTCAATTCTCTCAGTGGCAAGATCGTAAGTGGAAGGGCTCAGAGAGGGGAACAGAGAGAGGGGAAAGCTGTGAAAGACAAGCATACATACAACTGATATCTTGAAGAATATTTGTTACCTTTAAGTGAGACCAGTCGAGGATCTTGGGGCGCTTTGTGGGAACAGAAACTACAAAACCACCCTAGTCACAGCACATACTTTAGAGAAAGCGTAAAGTTTGATGAAGACATGGATGGAGCTTATGGTAGCTCCAGAAGAAAGGCAGACACTAAGTCCATGGATTTGAACTCTGTCACATTAAATTACGGGGGGGGGGGAAAGTGGGAGGCATTTGTCAGATTTAGACAGGGTTAGAAAACAGCGATTTAGACATTTGTGGCCTGGTATGAAAGCACGCAGTGGCAGGCATGCAAACGGATTGAAATTCAAAAGTTCCAACTCCAAGCACATGAACAATAATATTTGCAGAGTAAAGGAACAAATAAATATGCACGCATGTATACATACACCTTTAATCTGCAAATATATACAAAACTTAGCTGCAGAGGTACCTGAGAACTTGATAGAGAAAAGTCCCCACTCCTCCATTCAATTGCTCTAAGTGAAGCGACTGCTTTTTACACCAGTCACTAAAAAAGAGCACTTGCTCTTTTGTAATAATAAGTTATTGAATAAGTCATTATGATTAAAAATAAGCACATTCAGAAGTATAGCTAGTATTTGAATCTGTCAGCCTTGAATTCTTCAGCGAATCTCTAAAACCATTCTTCACATTACTATGTTTGTGTGTACGTGAATCCTTTCAACCCAGACAGCAAAGTCCCTACTGTAGAGAATTACGCACAAACTATTCTAAGTGAGGCTGAAACAGCAATGGATCTCCTGTCGACTCCCACAGCAGTGACCCTTATTTGCATAGGCCAACATTACTTTATCCAGTTTGCCTGGACAAAAGAATCCCCAGCAAATAATGCAGAAGTAGGAGATGAGGTATGCTGCATTCTAAATTTGCAAAGCAAACCAAGGACCATGTTAAACAACCACTTAGAGAAGAATGTTTAAACGACAACTACCTTTTTTTCTTTTAAGAACCTACTTTGCACATGTAGTGTGCTTTTTTGCCTAATTCACACATGCAAGAGCTGCAGCACAGGCCATCTGAATATTCAGATGAGTTTCATTTTGTGGAGCTCCAGATGTTATTATCAAAATTAATATACCTTTTTATATACCTGAAGTCCATGGTAAAGGCACTTCAAACAAAATGACAGACAGGATAGAGGGCTTAAAAATTAAAACCAAAAAAACCTCTGTACAAACACCTCCTTTCAGCCAGGAAAACACTTTGTCTGAGGGCCTCCTCTCTCAGCAATTTGAAGACTGGCATGAATGGCCTTTGAGGAATCATCCTCAAAACTATTGGCAAAGGAAATATACAGAGCCTAATTATTGTAATACTGTAAAGAGACACTGGATTACCCTTTTGCTTTTCTGTAAACCCGCTCCTTTGAGATCATGCTTTTATTTCCCAGAGTTTTTAAAGTTTTCTTGATTACCAGAAATGATTTGAAAGTATCATGACTGCTTTCAGCAATATAAACCGTTTCAACTTAAGAGTTATATTACCCTATGCAAAGTAATAAATCTTTCCTGTGCTTGCACCGTGTACTAACTCACAAGACCTGGTAGAATGACTACAGTCAACACTCAGTGCTTGAGTAAAACTTAGCCCATTATACCACATGTGGTTTCTTTAAAAAACATTATCCTTTGCAGGTATAATACTACAGGTATTGTGTACAAGCATGCTTCTTCATGGATTAAACGTTGCTATTGCACTGCAAAACTCTCACTCAACAGAAAATTTTTACTAGTGTAGATGCAGAAGCTACTACTTTCCTAGAAAAATGAGCATGTAAGAGGTCATTTCTTCCATGAAGAGTTAAGTCAGTCAGTAAACAAGCAAAACACCTGAGTACAAGAAAAAACATCAAGAGCAAAAGATGGTTCCAGGCATAAGAAAAGCAGTCTTCTGACAGGCATGCAGAAGGTTTGTGTAGCAACATTAACACTGGAGATGAAAAATTACTGTAAACTGAACAAACACAAAAAAAACCCTCCAGCTTTGTGGAATGTTAATCTGGAATTCAAATTTGTAGATATGGTTTTGAATTTGTTTTAACACTTCAGGATTAAGGTTACATTATTCCACCTCAGACTATAGTGAAACATGTTCTCATACTGTATCTTGTCAACCTACTTCTCAATAGATGTGTTTTACACCAGTTGCTTACCCTGAACAGTAGGATAAAAATCATTCTCCTTTTAAATACAGCAACTTCAATCACACTATTCATGTGAATAAAGCGGAGGATTAGGACATTCAGGTTATTCACACACAGACATCTCCAGCCACATAAGAAAGAACTACAGTTATAACATTTACAGTGGCACTTTCCATTAGGTACAAAAAAACCACATGAAGATAAACACAAAGCAACCCCCCCTAAACCCATATTCATTACATTTTTTCCAGCATTGCTGCCAAATGATTTGCTAATCCATTTCATAACTAGTATTTTGCACATGTTCAGATGTTTCTAAATAATAAACTCTGATAGACTTAATTGAAATGCATGACAGTAACACTGAAAAAGTACAGTAAAAAGAGATACTTATTATATAGTTTACATGAAGAAAATTCACTGTAAGACCCAATTACAATACAACAATCAGGTCATGGTTCAAGATTTTCTGGACAGATGGTTAACTTAAAACACACTGACCCCCTATCAGACTGGATTAGTGCCAAAAGCACTCAGCCCTTCCTGCAGAAAGTGGGTCAGATTAGGTTTTGTTCAAGTGCTTTTATTTGATGCATCATGATTTCCAAACAACTTATTAAAATCTGCTAGATTATTTCTATATTCTTATACAGAAAATGGGATTCCTTCTTGGCTATCACACTTACCTTCACATTTCTCTAGGATCTGGACAGTTTCACCTAGTTCCAGGACCAAGCCTTGCGGTACAGTTCCTCGGAAGCTGCATATCACTAGAGGGTGGGGAAAAACAGAGAGAGACATATGAGGATTGAATCTTCGTGTGATTTTTTTTTTTCTTCTAAGCATAGCACTTTAGCTCACTTACATAAAAATAGCTATTACGTAGCTGCCCAGAAAACCTGCCAGCCAACTTTTCCTCATCAGATACCATTATTTCGGCCCTTATCAGAAATTAAACTCAGCAGCAACATAAAAACCATGCTTTCTGAAAGGTTTTTGAATTAAGCAAGGCTTGTAATCACTTTAATCACCAACCCCTGATTCATATTTCATACAAAGATTTCCTTGTCTCACAATTCTTACTCTACTACACAATTCATCAATGGAACAGGCAGTCCTAACTGCAAAGATTATAATAGGAAGTCAACTGCAGGAATTACTTTCCTCCAGGTTGAAACTATTTCAAGTACTGCCTGTGCAACTAATATACTGCAAAAAACCCCTATATTACCATATGTTATTTTATTTAAGTAGATGTACAAAAGATACATAACAACCTGTACTTTTCATAAGCACTAACTAACATGACATATATCTTAAGTATTTTTCTAGATATCTTTAGTTTTCATTAACCATGGAAAATAAGAACTGATCTTAATGTTTTGGAAAATGTGAATACAATAAAAAAATTACTGAATAAACCTCATTTTTAAAAATAAACTTTAAAAAATTATCATGGTGTATAATGATATATTCTTTAACCATATTTATCAAAATACAATAGGGACACGGACATGGGTAGTTACCTGAAACATGTCAAAACAAAGGAAGAACTGCAAATAAGGTCATATGTGTGTGTACATCCTGTCCCCAGTCCCGTAACGCCTGTTCATTAGCATTCAAAAACTCACTCAGACACAGATTTGATTTAATTGTTCAAGTACCTTAATCGTTCAAATGTTCTAAATAAATATACACTCAGTCACCGAGCATGCCCTATGTGTTACCTACACTAACACAGTGGAGCACTGTGAGTGGAATTCCATGAGTCGAAACAGTGACCTCCAGTGGGCATCATCCTTTCTTCCCATTTAGGACAACACTCCCATTTAAATGCACGCGCTCAGGCTCTGGTTAAGACACTCCCACCTGATGGAGCTGCATTTCATCTCCTCCCTGAGGATCTTTTTATGTCAAAGCCACCGAACCCCTTGTGACTAAAGACTCTGTGCAGAACTTGAAGCAGTTAACCAGAAAGTCTGAAGTCCAGGGGAAAAACACCATGGAAACCAAGACTATCATCCACACCATCTTCCACACCATCTACCACAAAGGTGTGTTTCTTGAACCCTGGATTTCCAACAAATAATGAGAAAAGCATAGGAAAAACGTCCACCAAAGTGAAACAGTTTCAACCATATATACAGACTTCATGGAGGCAAAAGGCAAGAAAGAACAAACTACCTACCCCAGGCAAGCACCCACACAGGTGAGAGTAATATGAGAAAGAATTTGAATCAAAATCTGAAGAGAACCAAACAGCATCAAATGTTTGCTCTTCCACAAAGTGGAACTCAAAGTGAGACTCAAAGCAGTGTTTAACTAAAGAGGGAAAAACAAACCAACAAACCTGAGCTGTTATCTCAGCTCCTAGGGCCCAGCAGAAGTCACCATCAGTTAAATGAGGTTTTAAATTCTTGTTTACATCAGGGACAGGAGAAACCTAACAACTGGCTCCAGACTGGAGTAATGCAGACAACATAAACCAAGAAAAAACACTAAGCTTGTCAGCATTCTGTACTCATTCTTCACCCATGAAGAAATCATAAATATGGATTTCAACCAAAGAAAAAATGCTTAATGCATCTCCCAAAGTGCAGGAATAGAGGCAATTGCCAAACACTTCACTCGCAAGTCACAACCAAACCTCTAACGGGTTCTCCTTGCCCCTCTAGTATTTTAGATGGTAGTATCCTTTAAATACAGAAAATGTTGTGTGGGGTTTTTTTTTCGTAATAGGCAATTTTACCAAAACAAGAAGGCATAAACATCTTCTATTTAAGCTGGTTTGCAAAATGCAATCCTATATAAAAATAACATGACTTTTCTGTTCAGACCAACAAAAATACTAAAAGATCCAAGTATGTCTCAAACCTACAGAATTTCAAAAGTCCTGGGTGAAAAGCTACTATTGAAAACACCAGAAAAATGGAGATAGGGTAATACAGCAACAAGATACATTCATTTACCAGAGTAATTCTAGATACACAATTACTAAAAAAGTTAATATATATGTAATAATATTAAATCCAATTTCCAGGCTATTTTCAACTTCTCTGTATGTGCCAAGATTACGATGACACAGAGGCACCAGTCACAGGACACGCGAGTATTAGCGGTCATAGACAAAAGGATAGTTTGAATTGCAGAGAGATTAATGACTGACTGGTCTTACTCTGCTGAGTCCAACCAGTCAGTCTGAAAAAAACATTACTGCATGTTAACAGTGCATTGGAAGTTCTGAATGAGCAAACAACAGCTGGCTTCCTCAGCCAATTACTTACTGTATGAAAACTACCAAACAAAGGATGTGACCGGGAAAGAAACTGGATCTGATGCAACTACTAGTTCTTTGGTCCTCAGATACTTCCCTATCAGGTAACCATAAAAAGCGAGCTTGGAATGAAAGCTAAAGGAAAGGTAGCAGGAAAATAGAGTGCTGGATTTTTTTTCAACTGCTGATATAACAAATTTAAAAAACATGGCTAAGAATAATGGCTTTAATATATTTAGACTTGCAAGAAGTAATTCCAATAGATCTGTTAGCTTATAGATGCAAACTGTCCATTTTTAAAAGGATTCTACTGGTCACACAAAGAAAATCCGATATAAGGACTCTACTGCATCAATATGTAATCAGCTCTTTAGAATTCAGAGTACTCTGTTAATAAAGATAGCCAAAGCTCTTTTATTAGGTCTACTTTAGTTGAAAAAGAAAAAACAAACAAAAATCACAGAACAGAAATTAACTGATCCCCTCAACGGCAGATATAATCTGGATGATCATTCACAATTAGAAACTAAGTTCTCATAAAAAAATAACATCCACCTCATTGCTCCGCATTCTTAACACAGCAGTAGGAACTCTTAATTCCTTCATCGATGAATTTGTAGCCATCAATAAATTGTGTCTCTTCTGCCTGACAATTTTAATAATCCGTAAGGTATGTGAACAGCAATATGGGTATTTTCAAAATAACAGAAGCCAAATCTCAAGTGTAGTTGACTTCCCAGCCACACTAAATGGAAGTCCAGGAAAATTAAAGAACCTACTGACCCAATACACCAAACCATATCTTGTTAAAACTGTTCAACAAGAACACAATTTAACATCTCTGAAATAAAAAATAATGATAAAAATAGCTACTGATTATGACCAAATTCCAGAAATGTGAAGCTATTTTATACTCAGAGATATGATTCCAAAGGTTACTTCCAAAGTTATGGATGTTACTTGTTAAGCTAAAAATGCATTACGCAACACATCTTATTTATGAAGTCACTTTTAGGCACACAGTTCTTCTTAGCAGTACTATTTGAAAAATATGAACATAAATGTATATGGGAAATAAGGAATAATTTAACCATTCTGGAGACATAATTTACAGAGAGGACTCCAATAACTGATGTCTGTCCTTCCCACAGAAAAATTCCTTATAGCATAGGATCATCTACAAACTGTCCATCAATCAACAAGTCTCCATCATTTCTTAAAAGAGTTATCCCCTCGGTCACCAGAATACAGAAGTAATGCATCATCAGAATAGGCATACAGCAAAGCATTTACCCACCAGTTAACAGATCTGAACGATCCCTCCTGGATCCCAGGACAGACTACTGAAATATTTAACACCTATTTTCACATATTAAAGCCTCTTGCCATCATTCAGGTTTATAAGGAGGTCATAGTTCCCCCTCACAAAGCGTAATTTCAGCCAGCAATTAAACCCAATACTCTGCCAAAGAGGAATGCTTTGAAAAAGCACCACATGCCACTTTCATGAATTATCTCCAAGGTTCCTTAACTGTGGTACTTGAACTGGATCAAAGTGGGCTGCAGCAAAGGAAACCCTTCCCCTCTGCACCTCTGCAAGTTATTAATGAGAAAGGCACAAACTAATTCACAGTTACTCTCAAGCTGTAGCAGACAGTATGAAGGAATTGGTGGGTATAACATGTAAGAACAGATGGCATTGGAAAAGCAGTTTGGAAAGCCAAAGGTCCAGGAGAGGGCAATTTCAGAAACATTTTCTTTGCCTATGGACATGCCCTGACACAGCATATGCAGCTGCATCGTAAGTCACCAGCAGTAAAAGAAACTGCTCCAAAAGAATAAGGGGACACAGATAAACATGGCAACTTAAGAAAGGGTCAGTGCATCTTTGATATCTTACCAATTCCTCATGAGTTAGGTATCTAAAGGAGCTGCTTGCTATATGGACAAAGAAGATTCAGTTGACACAATCCAGCAGGTTTTACAAAATCTATGCCAGAACAACCCCTGTCAAAAGCTCTTGCAGAAGCTGAGCTTGGCTGTGACAATGTGGGAGGGCATTTGCACCAACAAGTAATGAGCAAAGAGATATGGAGACAGAAGTACTAGCCAGTTTTCTTAGTGAAGGCAGTTTGACCAGCAAGCTCCGAAGGGATGTCTGTTGGAGCCTCCTCTGTTTAAAGTATTTCTAAGTGATCCAGAAAAGCTGATCATTTAGAAAAGTGATGAAGTTTGCAAAGCCAGTCAAGCTATTCAGGGTGATAAACAGTTGCAGATAGACCTAAGTACCACGAGAAGAACTGGCAGAGGTACACCATTTCGTTCACCTACATGGTGTTTCATGAGGGACAAACAATCCTAATCTCACATACAAAAAAAAAAAAAAAAAAGAAAAAAAATCATCTCTCCCCTTGCTATTACCACACTGAGTGAAACCCTGGAATGTTATTTGGAGTTTCTGTCATAAGCTCAGTGCTTGGCCATTGTCAAGCACCACACCCCTCACCATCGCCACGTCACAGCAGAAAAAAGGGAAGGCACCATTACCTTCAGTGCTGTATAAAATTCACAATGAACCCCCACATGCCAGTCTCCCCCTCTTCCCTTTGTCAAAAATGTATCCTTTGTCAAAATGGATGGAACAGCATAAGGAAAGGAAGAAAATGTGAGACGAGAGATATGAAGGACTGATAAGGGCTTTTATATGATTAACTATGAACCAAGATAGGACTCTTCTACCAATAAGACTGACAGCTGAAAGGGGTGGAGAGAGTGTAATTGATAAATTGCATGGAGAAGGTTAACAGGGAACAAGTGCTAATCATCCCTTCCAGTACAAAAAGCAGAGCAGTGTCAAATGAAACAGCAGAGAAGAGTTTAGGACTTTATTAAATAAAGTATTTTTCCACACAGTGCATAAACTGTAAAATTCCTCACTCGAGTTCGAAAGTGAATAGGGCAAATTAATGGATGTGTACCACCTTCAGCTCAGCAAGGCCCTGACCCAGAAAGCATCACAGACGCTTACCCTGCTGTGCTGCTACACCACAAACACCCACCACTGCTCACCGGCAAAGGCAGGACACGGAGCAAGATGGGTGTGCGGCTGGACTGTTATGATCTCTCTCGCACAGTTGTTATGGAATCACAGCCTGAGCTTCTGTGGTCCCTTGCTATCTATCGATTTGTGACCTCATCTGAACACTATTACTACAAAAAAAAAAAAGAGAGGATACAATTCACAGTTAGAGAAATGCTACATTAGCTTTCATATGTGTCATTATTATTTTCTGCTGCATGCCTAAATAACAGACCTGTTTTCATTTTTGCTGTGGTAACACTTAAAATGTATCTTCCTTTCGCAATTCATTCCCATGCAATTTCCTATGTCCCAGTTTCCCCACCCAGTCTCACCTGGGTCCCAGTGCCTCCACAGATCATTTTTTTTCTCAAACAGATGTCAATTACATAGTAAACACAGTAATAGAAATGTGCCACATTTTTTACATGAACAGTGGGAAAACCCAAAACAAGAACAGGAAAATGCCAAAGGGCTGTCCAGCACAATACATCCACATAAAGATCACGCAGCATCTAGCTGCTTCCCCTAAAGCGTCATTTTTTCTTAGCCTATACATAAAAATTTTTTTTTTGCAGTACAATGAACTGGCATGCCTAGGTACATGCCTTCTCATATACTTTCTAATTTTTTCAACCTATTTCTACACATTGTAGTAAAGCCTGCAAAAATTGCATAATGACATTGCGTAATGTTCTATTTATAGTCTAAAATATCAGTTCAGCCCATAAGTAATTTCTTTTCATAAAGGAACAGAGTCCTTTTCCTCCCCACCCCCCAATACATACCAATGAAAATTACAAGTATTTATTTAGATGAAGGCTGAGAAACAAAACCAATTCAGGAGGTTTACATTGTCCCCTTTTCCTTCCCCAAATCTAAATTACTGTTTCTCTAATCATAAAGTTGGGTTTTTAGAAATCATTACTTATTTCTCATATTTTCTCTTCCACAATAGAAATCATTGCTGCTAGAACCTATCCAATATGCTAAAACAAGTTTTTCTTTATCTCGAGATGTCGGTGAGGCTAAGATTTAATGAACTCTATGGGTTAACTCTGGGGAAAAAACCCACAACATTTCATATTATCAGCTGTGAACATACGTTTGGGTTTGGTTTTTTTTTAGTTTCACTAGGCTTTTTTCAGTTGCATAAATGTAACAAAAGAACCAAAAATTCTTAAAATCCTTCCATTGTAACAATCATAATTCTGTGAACTTTCAGCATGTCTCCCTTTACTCATGGCTTCAAAAGACAAATCTTGGCCTTTGTGACAGTTTTTTCCAGTTCTCAACTCATTATTACTATCTGTCTTACTAGAAGTCTGGTAACTTACAATATTTTTAGATGACACCAGCAGAACAGCAAGAGTTTCAGGTTAAAGTATGCTGTTTAATTTTTGTAAGTCCTCTGTCCTACAGTCAGATCACAATTATTCAGGTTATGCATTAATCACGCTCTAAGCGTACCTTCAACCAAACTAGTTTCAGAAGGGATGGCAAGGATAATACATAGAAGCCCGGATGCAGATGTGTTGCTCTATACCCAAATTACCCAGCGTCATACCCTGCCAATTTATAAACCCACGGAGCAGGCACTGAATTGTGCTCTGTGTTACAAATGTCAAAGTTCTGAAGTTTTCTGATGGTGTCATTTGTGCTTTAACACATAACCATATCTTAAATCACACCAACTGAAAATTTGGTGTTCATGTTTACTTTGGGTAACAAGCATTTCACAGTCCTTATAACGGAGCAGAATACAATTAATTTTACAATAAACGTCACATGCCGTCATCTGTAAAGGGTTTTTGTTAATTTGCTTAATGTGATAGTAAACTTTGATTGCCTGAAGTGTTTATGTCGGTTTTTTTATTTTAGAACTACCAGAGTGGGTCACTCTGTAAATCAGTAATTACATGAATAGAAGTATACTGGTGAAAGCTGTTATCTGAATTCCAGAATAATTTTTATACCTTATAGCTTATTTGCAATCTTGGGGAAGGCTCCTAAACAGAGTCATATTCTAAGTGATATTTACCCCCACAGCAAAGCTCCCCTCCTACCCCAGTGCTCACCACACATAACGAATTACTGTGATTTCTTAAATAATCTTATATACATGACTGCAAGATTGTAGAGTTTTAATTTCATATTCAACTACTACCTGTTATCACTACTGCTAGTTAACATGGAATACAAGTCCAATCTCTAAACCTAAGATTGATTGATATCAATTGATCTTTAAGAAAATAATGAAATTACTCCAGACTGATAAAACAATGTTTATGACAATGATGTATCTTTCCTTAAAACGCTTTTTCATATGAAACCATCTATTAAAAGTGCCTAGTATCCAACAGTATAAGCTAGTTTTAACAGCTGAATAAGATTAACTTAATTTTCCTGCCTGCAGTATCTAGATGACAATAAAGGCTCCATGTAACATAACATAACTGTCTCTGTGGTAGGTGAGACCAAAGATGGTTCTAAATCAAACTTTTCCCTAGCAGAGGCTAAAATCAAGGAGATGAAGAAGGGGTACCAGAACAGGGCAAGGATGCAGCTTTCCCCAGCCAGAGCAGTTTGTGGATTGGGACTTCCTAAACTAGAAGGTTTTATTAGTACTAATTTCATAAATGTATTTAATAGCCCTCTTTATATTTTTTCTTCTACAGAGCCACCCACCCAAATGTTTTTGAACCACATCAGCCTTTAACATCCACACCACTCCAGAACTCCATGCTTCACTTGTGCATCATATGGAAAGTGTTTTTTAGTTGTCCAGATCCTGCATCATCAATACCCTCTTGGAATTGTATTAAAATAAAAAGAGTGAAAAATCCATTTCTATTCTTCCACTCCACAGTATTTACAGTTTTAGAACCTTCCAAACTACCTTTTCTTAATAATTCATTTTCCAAGAAGGGTGACAGACTTCAGCTCTTTGTATTTATATATGGCAGACAGGGAAAAGTCTCTAAGCCACAGCAGTGTAACTGCGCAAGGAAAAAAAAAACAAAACACCACCTTGATAAAAGTTACCAGTTAGAGGAAAAGACAGCTAAGAGTCAAGATTTAGCTTTACCTTTTTGTGAGGCAACTGTGTTGCACAATCACGCCTACAGGCAGCAAAGAATTAATACTTTCCAAACCACCCCCTACCTTCCAGCCTCTTTCAGAACCGCAAACCTTTTTCCAGCAAGGAAGGAGTAGTTCTTGCAAACAGAAAATGGCGGGTTTAATAATTTAAAAGACCAAAAAGTAGTTTATGAAGGAAGAAAAACCTTCATATTTTTATAACACAATTAAAGGCCAATATGATTAAATTTTTGTGGAACTGCTTGATTAAACCTGGCAGCTTCATAGATTGCACAATTAGACTCTGATGATATTTGACAAGGGAGCAGAACCACAAGGAAATTAAAATGAAAACATTTTCATTTTATTCTACAAATACCTAGAAGAATGTTTTCACCTTCACAGTATACCTTCCAACTATTTAAATGATTAATTGTGGGTGAATGTTTCAATTACTTGCCAGAAATTAATTTATCTGGAAGTTCAGGCCACATGCAGCAAATATGTTTACGAAGAAAACAGGGAACAAACCCCAGGTCTAGTACTTCCAAAACATTCTGCTGTTTAAGCAAGATGGACAATATAAAGAATTTAGGTACAAAGGAGAGGGCATATCCAATTACAACCTAAACCCACAACTACCCAAATAAAACAACAAAAGGTTTTTGCAGCAAGGCGCATTTCTTGCAGTGTGCTGGTGACACAGAACAGGGCTCTAATCCGATTGGAATTGCCAGGCACTAATGTAATACACACACACAAAAAAAAAAAGATTATCAAAAGCTGATTAAAAGCCATCCAAACATTACAATCGAAGAGTAGGGATTAAACAAAAGACACGATTTAGAAGAGGGCTAAAGATTTTTTTTGACCTTATTAATGGTCTTTATGAACTTTTATGCAAAACCTTGAGGAAGAAAAATATACTTCAGAATGGAAAGCAATCTGTTATACTTAAGGGTTTTTTTATATGACCAAAATCACACTACAATTAAGTGAAGGTATTTCAGGCTGGTCCAGGAGCACTGGCAGTTGCTAGGCAGCATCTGCTCCTGTCAGAGATGCTTTTTTCGTTGTGCCATACAGAACCTCAGCCAGGAATACTGCCACCAATGGATTATTACAAGGCAGCTTACTGCCATCACATGGCATCTGCAAAGTGCTCAAACTGCTGCCTAGCAACACCGCCTCTTTCTACTGAGTCATACCACCACTATGAAAATATTCATGTAAAAAAAGAAACAGATGCCCGAGAAAAAAGGTGATCATTCAGTGGCAAAGTGAATTATTGCTAGCATCCTTCCCCTATCCTCTAAGATGAAAATAGAGATTAGGCTCAAAAATCATGAGCTCTTTTAAATAGTTTTGCACATCCTTGAAGAAACAGATCAAAAACCCACAGAGTTGTCCACTACCTTAGCTACATTAATGAACTGATTTTGAGCTTCCAGCTTTGCAGACATCTACCCTGGTTACTCACCCCCTTCCTGTAAATCTGTTCCCTTAGCTATCAGTTCATTCAACTTCCACTCTGGCATTACAGAAGTCCCTTGCCCATACATCATGCCCTCTATGCGGGAACTAAATGCAGAAGTTTCTTTTTCTCCCTTTTAAGCAGAAAAGCAGGCTGTTTCAGTTTATGGAACCCTTTTCCCTCTTTCCAACACCTAACTTGCAAAGAGGAGAAAAACACTGACCATACCACCCTCTGCACAGAGGAGTGTGGAGCTGTTCTGCACTGTGTTCCACAGACTGCAAACGCAACCCAGAAATGTCTATGCTTTACTGCTGGAAACAAGATAAGAAACCAGACAAGTTTTGATTATCCTGGAGGATGGAGACTGCACCACCTCTCCAGGCAACCTGCTCTGGTGCTTTACCACACACATTGTGGAAATTGATGTCCCCTGCTGTAATTTGCCACCGCGGCTTCTTTTCCTTTCACTGTGCAACTCTGAAATGTGCCTGGCTCCGTCTTCTTCAAAACTCACTAAAAAGTACCTGACCACATACTAGACCCCTTCTCATCCTTCTCTTCTACAAGTTGTACCACCCGGGACCTCACAGACCCCTCCTCTCATCATGTACTCCAGCCTCCTAACCATCTCCTGACTTCACTCCTCATACTGCGAGATGCTGTGCTCCAGAGGCAGCCCCAAGATTCCCTAAAGGGGGAAACGATCACCTCGGTCAACACCCTGGCTATACAGGAACGCAGCCTGGCATGCGGCTGGCTACAAGAGAGCACCACCGATTCACATTTGCACATGGAAGAACACAGGTATGATGATACCACAGCGCTTTACATCCTACCCCATTTTACACTGACTACATCAGAAGACTTTTAGTCCTCCTGTCTAGCTGCTAAATAAGTTCGTAACATGCTAAAGGTATTTATGGTCAGTTTGCACATTTCCTATAAGGAGGAGGAAGGGAAGAATAGGGTAGATTTATAAAAGTGTATTTATGTAGATGTATAAAAGCTCCTGCATCTTAGTTGAAAACCCTGTATTTTAGCCTATACCCATGTCTGCCGCAAAAGAACTTTTTGTGGACACCTGAAGACAGCTTACAAGTCTGCTAAGAAACCTTTGAACCCCCCCCCGCAAGAACTTTGACCTTTTTGGTAAACTATTTGCTACTAAAATACCAAAAAATGATGCCTTGCATAGTTGAAGACTCCTTTTTTTGTTTACCTCTTCTATTCTTGACTTGAGCAAACATGCATTTTTTTAATGCTATCATCATCATCTGAAATGTTGGGAAAATTCTCTTTTCCTCTTACTGCATTCTCCACCCAGGTTGAAATAATTAACTGTTACTTTCATTATTAAAAGAAGAATAGTGTCTTGTGCCAGCAACCTGAAATGTAGCCACTCCAGAATAGAAAAAACCCCAACAAGATCAGAAGTTGCACTTTAGGACCTTGCTGTGATGAATAAAGTAAGAGAGAAGCCTATCTTCTACCTCCGCTTCCCCAGAGACAAAAGAGAAGCTGTTTCTGCAAGACCAATACTTCAAAAGCAATCTTCCTTGGGGTAAAACCCTTGGACCACAGAGATAACCAAATACTTATCAAAAAACAAAGAAAAAACTCCAAACCCACAAAACCCACAGCAGAGCAACTTCGTTCATAATTCCAATCAGCCCAACATACTCAGAACGGCTGGCAGGGAACAGCAAGCGGGCAGAACGGATAACTGCGAATTCCTGCGTGCCTGAGGGAGCACTACTGACAGCAGCAGCACAAGCTGTTCCAAGCGGACACGTAGCTCCGTGGTCAGCAGACAGCAGGCCTGAGCACATCAGCTCACAGAGCCTTTCTGTGCCCCAGGCCAGCTCGTCCCATTCTCACAAGTCATTGCCAGAGGAACAGCCGGTCAATGCTGCCTTTGAAGAGAAACCCTGACACGCAGACGATTCACCTAGTCACTCTCTTCATGCAAGGCCAGGTGCACAGGTAGCATGCAGCTCCATTTTGTACACTATATAACAGCAGATGTCAGGGCAAAATTATCTCACAGAAATGTTGATCCTGCTTCACTAAACGCAGTGAAACTAGACTGTTGCCTCTTTGGTTTATCAAAAATTGGGTCACCAATCATCCAGCTCATGAGCATTTAAGGAGAGAAAAAAAACCACACAGAAACATCAAAGTTCAAACCACAGTTTTCAATAACCTTCTTTTACAATAATTCATATAATTTTGGATTGTTTATCCCATGCTGGCTGACACTTTCTCACTTGTGCCTACGCTCTCTGTCCACATATATAGTATAGCCATATATACATAAACTTACATAAATGAGAACACGTGCCTAGGTGAAGCGGGCAACTTTACGCAAACATTGCCACACGTATTTTTCTCTACAAAGGAAGAGATGGGTGAAATACAAGCATCTCCTCCTATCCTCCCAGATCCAGACCCACTTACTACAAACATACCGATCGCTCCCCACCGGGACTGTTGAACACTGCCTGTGATATTCTCCTATGGAAGGTTCTCTGCTACCTTTACAACTTGTTTGGGTAGACCACACACCCCAGCAAGACAGAGAACTGCATGCAACACAATACCTAAACAGGCCTGTAAAAAGTCATGTATTGCTTTCAGTTGGCATCTGTTTAACAGTTCTTCCAGGTTTCTCTGACACATACGCAAGGCTTCATTTATCACATCAGAAGACTGAAAGGGGAGGTATACTACATTAACAGCTGGCATAAACATCTCATTCATAAACAGAGGGAAGAGAGAGTCCCCTGCTGTTCAAATACACAGAAACAAGAGATTTCTAGAACAGTAAGCCACCTGCCAAAGCACACTGAACTACACTCCAGCATGCTGGGTAGCTCACTGGCTTCTATTGAAAAAAAAATAACTCCCCACTCCATCAACTACCTACTGCCAACACTAAAAGCATTTAGCACATAAGCTTCTTCATGCTGTAATATCTACCCAAACTTTTATTTCTGTTTCAGAGCGTGCCTGGTATCAGCTTACTTCTGAAAGCAGAATGACCTGCTTTTAATCACCAAGAGTTAGCTAGCACCACTTGTCATAAGCTTTCCTTAAGGCTTAATATCCAGAAAGAATCAAGAAAAGAAAATGAAGTCAAATGCTGAAGTGGGACAAGAGGGAAGTCTTATCCTTGTAGTAAGTATTCATCTCACAACTACACTGGAAAGCACTCAGTCTGCTCAAACCCACAGTTATCATTCTTCCTAACACCTGCGGTAAATTCTGACTAAACACTCGTTGTTTAAACAAACACTAAAATATGTCTAAGAGGAAGGAATTACAGCTAAAAAAAACCCTTAAGAGATGCTTTCAGGATCTCAGAAGAGATCGTAAGGTTCATTTTGACAGGCAAAAACCTGAACGGAGGTTTGATTTTCACGTCAGTCACTTGAGTGAGATATTTCATGTCTTTGCCTTTAGGTTCAGCAAGCATACAGATTTTGAAACAGAAAAAAGAATAGAATAAAATGTAGTGATATTAAGGCTGATTCCTAATTTAAAAACAATCAGTGGGAAGACTGCTGTCAATTGCAGCTGGTTTTGAACCAAGATCCTACTGTATGCTTCCTTTAGCCTCTTCCTCAGCAAGTATCACAGCTGAGAAAAGAACACAATAAACTTCATTCACTGTACAAATTAACAAGAATTTCTCTGAAGCAGGAGAAAACGTTGCATTGGCCTCTTTAACAGCTGAATAATCTTCCAAAGACTTTCCATTCTTTGGTCAGCATCTTCACACCCACACCTTAAGAGTTCCCATTTCTCAAAGGAACCAATCTATGAAATGTGCGTGGCCACCGATAACACTAGTTGTTGGAGGTCATCAGGGATTTACAGTTCTTCCATATAAGAGCTATGTTCCAAATAATTAACATATTAATCAGAAAAGCTTGTTTATCCTCATGCCATTGTGCATATGAAGACAAAGAACTCCTCCTCATTCCCAATTATTCCCTTTTTGTGGGCTTTTAAATGCCACCAGTTATGTGGTAGAGAATTTTCTAGATCCTGAGTTCTGCTAATAGCTCTTAAATGTTTCCCTGACGTTTATATTGGACTCTGACCTTGTAAATACTGACCTGCTGAAAAGAAAGGCTTTGCAGGATAGCAAGACTCAAATCCAGCTGAGCTATGCCATTGACTGTAAACTACAAAAGCTACCTTCAGAAGGGTTAATAAAAATACCAACTTTCCCCTCTTCCTCCTACATACAGCTGAAACTACGACCTGCACCATCACCACATACTCACACACTAACTCCCCATGCTTTAAATTGTTCAAGAGAGAGAGGACTTTAAAGTTCCCTTACTAGTTTCACTCTGGGGAATCTCCCTTCCTGTCCTACAGGCTTGACAATTAATTTAAACCCAATGCATACAAGTAAAACACACACACACAAAAAAAAAAAAAAATCACCTGAATTTTCCAAGAACTAGGAGCATTTAAGGCATTTTGGCTTATACCCTGGTTTTAATTGTAATTGATAACCTGCTGCATTAAAAAAAGAAAGCAAAATAACCTGTTCCTTGAACAAAGATGAAAAGCCTTGTTTACTACCAATGGATATTCCCATTCCCTCTGTTTCACCAACAGTTTCATGACACACCAAACACAGTACCATCGGACTTTTAATCTTTTGCTATTCCCAGTCCTGTTCCTGTGCGCTCCGGTCTACAAGGCACCCCAAGTTCACTCCCAGCCAGCTTCCCCTTCATATTCTCCAGCAAGCAAACAAAAAAGTTGTATTAGGAAGAGTCCAAATAGAACCTTATTATCCATATTTTCAGCAAGTCAGTAGCTACTTATCTGCACTTCTATCCACAGGAACACTAGTAAATTCTTTCTTCCCCACCTAGCCACCAATTTTCATTAAATCTGTAAGAAATGTATGCCCGAGACTGCCAACTCTCATCATAAAATGCCGCTCATTACTTGCGACAGTAAGTCGACAGTTGAGAGGTATGGTTAGGTGAGGACAGAAAGCCTGAACACTTACAAGATTTCCACCCTTAAGAAATCAGTCTAAATACAAAATTCATTCTGCAC